TTTACAATAATAAAAAACATATTCAACTACCAATCATTTGATATTCATTTATTACACAATATTAATTTCAATGCTTAATAAATATAAGATATATATTAAAAACTCTTGAATAATTATTATTAATTAGTAGAAACATGATGGGTTATGAAGTTTCAAATAAATACGATACAAAATGATAATTTGTTTTGAGCCATATTCATTTAAATGACCACTATTATATAATTTATAAAAATAAAAATTATACTATGATCTTACTGATATTCTCTTCTCTTTGTATGACATTATCTTACCATAATCTTGTTGTATCTGCTCTGTCCGGAAAATGGTATTATCTTGAAAACAAAATGCTACATCAAGAGTCTTAAAATTAACATAAGAGATGAATAATCATTACAAAATGTTGAAAGGAATCCCCAAATAAATGACAATTAGGAGGAAACAAACCACCCCATATTCCCATAGTTACCACTAGCTCCAGTGAGACCACTAGGCGCAAGTAAGTTGCTAAATTAGCTTAATACAACAAAACCACCCACATACACATACACATACACATCCACATAAACATACACATAAACATACACATAAACAAGCACACATAACCTCCCAAAAAAACAGGCAGAAAAAAAGTACCACCCAGGGGCCAGGGCCTCATCCTGCAAACAGTTTACCATTTGCTATAGAGATGACATTTTTTTCGGTCAGACTGTGATTAGTCAACTCAAAAGATATAACAAAAAACATGTTTGTTTTTCAGCTGCGAAGTGGGCCCGATTCTTTGTTTTTCAAAGATAATTTTGAAAACTGAGATTCCACACTATCTCTACTGTTGCTTCGCTGATGCCTAACAATCGGCTCTTCAGATGCTGGTTGTTGCTGTTGTTTGTACAACCCTCTCAGTCTGCCAATCTCTCGCTCTAAAACTTCATGTTCCACTGCAAAAAAAACCAACATTTGCTTTAGCAAGTAGCAACTCAATACTTTAATAAGTCATCACATAAACAAAACCAGATAATAAGAGAAGATGTAGACCGGTTACATTCAAATTTTGCATGTTTAGAAACTTACAGTATTTGATAAGTTGCTCTTGAGCCAAATTCTCTAACCGCTGTTTCAGTGCTTTGTTCTCCATGTTCAGAATCAGACTTTGCTGGTTTAGAAACTTTAGTTGAGCAGATACCTCAGAACCTTCTGCCTGCAATCACAGCATATATACATATGTTAAGTATAGATATATAAAACAGCTATCAAATATCAATAACAAGTTTTGTTTGAATTATAATCCACCTGTAAAGCTTGTACATTCCTTTCCAATTCTGCTATGTATTGAAGCTTTCGCACCCGAGAACGTTGAGCAAATTGCCTGTTATTAGATTTGTTCATAAAAGTTAATAATCACACGATAAATCCAGATCATCATCTTTAATCTTTTGTTATTAGTGGAACATATTACCAAAACCACTCATACAGATGGGGCCCGTTATCAAAAGCAGGAATACCAACTTTGGGACTTTTAAAAATATTGTTAAACTACATTTCCTTATTGGCACCAGAAAACAAGGATTATCATACATGCCATCTTGAAAAGGAAAGTAAAATATTTCAAACCAAAGGTGGGAAAGTAAAGGAGGCCAAATTATAAAAAAGTTAGGACTTAATGGGGAATACTCCCTTATAATCCTTATCCATGAATTTCTCTATTAAGTCGTTCTTTCTACACTAAGTCAAAAAGAAATACTCATATTATATATAGCTTACAATATTAAGTTATGTCCCCATCAAGTCCATTAAGTCAAAAGGAAACAGTACCTCACTCCATTTATTGTGAAGCAACTCTACTTTTACACTAAAAAGCTTTTGAAAGTAGAAAGGAGGGGAAATTGAGATTGTATTTTATGTACAAAGGTGTTAAATTTCATATTTCAACTAGCAGAGTCAACTTGTAACACAGCAAACATGATTTACATTTCCTATTTTTTATATTGTAAAGTTCAGCATGTCCTAAATCCCAAAATGTAAAAAGGAGAAAGAGAATTTACTTACTGTTTGGCACGCTTAGTGTCTGTTTCTGATGCAGAACCCTTGGTATTAGATGAATCACTATGTGCATCTTGTGTACAAGATTCAACTGTGTCTTGCTTTTCATTTGTTGGTGAAACAATCTTATTAACCTCTTGTGAAGCACCTGAGGATGTAGAATTTTGAAGAACAAATCCATCCCTAGAAGAATTTGCTGAATCCCAACCCCGATTTTTGTTTTTTGTCATTGGATTATGTTCTACATAAAAAGATGCATTTCTAGCATCTTTATAAAGATCAAAATCTTGAGATCCCCATGAAGGAGGAGATTGAGAGTTCATGTTTCTCAATCTGTACTCAATTTGTGCAGCGTGTTCTATGTTGGCATTAGCTGCTTCCATATATGTAAAAGAGTCACTTGATGAGCGACGATGACCTCTTCTTACAGGTGTTTCTGGTTCATCAAGAAGTTCATCCAGCCATGAAGGTTGTTCTTCTACTAGAAGGCTTTCAGAAGAAGTACGTTGATGATGATGATGATGTGAATTTACATTTCCGTCCCTATACTTTGGTATCCCTTTTGCTCCACTTGCAGTAGTATAATCAGGATAAAATGGGGTAATGCTTGGGAATGGACTTTTAGGGGGTAGGGAATAGTGTTTTCCACTGTACATGTTTCTTATTGTTGATGGTCCCTTGGAATTCTCCATAGCCAAATCACAAATTCCTGAAAATAATTATGGCAAAAGAATATAAGAAACTAATATATCTGTATGGCAGAAATAACTAGTAATGGTGAATCATCTAACAAATCATCTACAACCACCATAATCAAATTATCGTTTCCTACAGATAAGCTTAATAATTTAGTACCAGTGAGGGGCGACATCAGATTCAAACCAATTTCAGTTCATACTATTCCTATATATCATTCCTTATAGTTTACACCTAAAATTTGCACCTTCTTTCTTACTATTGCTTTCCTCCTAATAATTGATAAAAGAACACTAATTAATTCTACGTAACCTACATTCTCTCAAAAAATCAATAACTTTCAAGCTAAAACAATACAAATTTAATCCTTCACGAGGAATTTACTTAGCTGATCATTACCTTTATCACGTAGTGAAGATATTCAAATGCAATGTGATTTTCGGGAAAAACGAGGATAGTAAACCAAATCGACTCGAATCTAAGCTCAACTTGTTGTCTTCTTCTAGCTAGTGTTGATCATTAGGGTTTTCTTCCTCTTCGAACAGCTCTCACTATCTATGATCTATCTATCTATGGAGCTGCTATGCTCTGCTCTCCTCCTTCTCTTTCTCTCTCTCTCTCTAAAATTCTTGAATTGTCGTCAATGTGGATTGGGTTGCAGCTGGTCGATGAATAATGTATAAGGCTTGCTTTTGACAGCCCAAATGAAACCAATTTTCTTTTCTTTTGTCGTTTTCAGGTTTTTGTTTATGAAAATATAATATCATATTAGAAAATTCTAAAATAATATTTAAAGAGAAATAAAATCTACAAATATAACTTTTTAACAAAAATCAGATAAAACGAGTACAGAAAATACAGTTTATTAGCTTTTTGTTGGTTTTTTTTATGTTGATAAGAATTATTTTAATCCAAGTCTTGAAATGGAGCCAATAGCATGGAGATGTCCTTGTCATCACACCAATATATTAAGAAAGATTCACCAAACACAAGTATCACAAATGTTCAAGTTGGCCATGTACAGCTTCTGCCATTGGGGATGGGGTGGAGTGGGGTACTGTAGGGTTGGAACATAACAAAAAAGGTAAAGGTATTAAAATATTATTAAATATAATAATAAATGAATTAATGGTTTTTCTTTAACAAATGTTTTAAAATTGAAATTATTTATTGGTTTAGTAAGATGGATTGGAATGTGGTTCGTTAGATTACAAAAATTGATGGATGTTGTGTACAGAGGCTAATAATAAAAAGTATTGCATTTGGTCATTTTTTTTTGGATTTAACCTTTTAATTTTAGTTTCTATTAAATAAAGGCACATATTTTTAGACAAAAAATTCTATCAAATCATTATGAAGTGCAAATACAAGTCAAACAAGTGATACCTTCTTTTTTATTTTAATAAAACCACCCATTTAAAAGAAAAAATTATCTAACCAATATCTTTTTTCTGTTTTGATTTTGATTTTTTAATTTTTAGGGTTTATTTTTATCGAAAAAGGTCAATATATAAAAATTTATAATCTTTTTTTTATCTATAAACATCTATATTGATGCCAAACCGCAAGTTCGGTATTTTATTGAACTATTTGGTTTCGGTTTCTATGATTCAGTTTTCGTCTTTTGGTTGAAAATCATTTGATTTTGGTCTCTATAATTTCGTCTATTTTTTTGTTGTTGAAAAAACAAACCCCAAAATTTGGTTTGTAAGTCGAACTTTCATACAAACACATCAACCATTTATATAATATAATATAAAAAACATTAAACTTTTGGTGAAAAAATTATAAAGACAAAAGGTGAATGATATTTTTAACCCAAAAAAATCGAACCTAAAGCATAGAAACCAAAACCAAACGTTTTTCAACCAAAAAAAAAAACTGAAGTTCATAGTTTGGCATCAACAAAAAATTATAAATTTTCATATTGACATTTTTTGGTTGAAAACAAACATCTATATCGATATATGTTGATGCAAAACCGTAATTTTTTATGTGTTTGAAAAATCATTCACATTCGATTTCTATGATTTAGTTTCGGCTTTTTGGATTGAAAAAACATTCGATTTTGGTCTCTATAATATACTTTCAGTAAAAATTTAATATTTTATAGAATGTGTCATAGAACTAGTCAATGTATTTGTATGAAGTTGCGGTCATGGACAAAATTATAGAAACCAAATTTTGCAGTTTGGTTTTACAACAACAAAAAAAGAACCGAAATCAAATGTTTTTTCAACCAAAAAAACAAACTTGAATTGTTTTTCAACCCAAAACAAGTTAAACTAAATCATACAAATCGGGACTTAATGATTTTCTAACAATAAACATTGAACTTTGCGGTTTGACATCAACATATATCGATATAAATGTCTGTTTCTATAGGAAAAAGAGATACGAAGATGTCCGAAAAAAACAAAATTATGATGACGTTGTTGAGGTTTATAGTTAACACCGTGTCTTTAAAACAAATTCGCTTGTAACTAGAATATTTGTTTCCAATATACAACTAAAAGCGGTTCTTCGAGACTGCCCGAATCTACCAAAACCCAAATGCTACCTTGAGAGTAGCATCATTATTTGTGGCATGAATGCATTATTTTTATTGTTTTTTTTTATTTTTTTGAACTTATTGAACATCCACATGTATTGATGTATTGTTTTAGATTGTTGGCACTCATTGTGATTCCTCAAGTGGTCATCGGTTTTAAAGCTAATTAAAGCGTGATTTATTAAAATTTGTTGCATCCGAAAGAACGTGTGCTAAGCGCGTATAATAAAGGGTCAAGTGGCTACATGTTTGGTTATATGGAATTTTATAGCTTGGTTGGGAAAAATACTACTCTTTTCTTAATTTTGTGAATTAAAGAAACATGTGATATTGAAAATATATTTTTCTTTATTTTAAGAGGTAATGAAATATGCCTTGGGATTCATCCTAGTAATGGCAGGGTCATCCTCCATATGAGAGTTGGAGTTTAGGTTTGGGCATACTTGTATCTATCCAAATTAGATTAGTTTGGTCGTCTATGACAAGTGCCATGGTTATTTAACATCTATTTAAAAAATATATTGTATTTACGGGTTGGGAAAAAAATATTTTGGAAATAAACGGGTGTTGTATATCACATCAAGTGATCCATCTATTTCAAATTGTTTGCATGTAACATAAGAAACATACATATAATTGTAACCAAAAATGTAAAAAAGTCTTTAAGGGTTAATAACTAAAAAACCATTATATTTTGTAACGTTTTTTGGTTTAACCATCTAATTTTCATTTATGCTAAAAAACCCACTGGTTTTTTGATAAAAGTTATATCATGACCACTTTGACATGTATTTGTGCTAAAAAAAACACCCATAAATTGGTGGTTAAACAGAACTTTTGAAGAAATATAATGTTTTTTTCGTAATTAAAATTGGCTCTAATAGGTAACAGTGGTCACGCTTGACCACTGAGACGTTTTACCAAAAATTGGTAGTTTTTTCGGAACTTATAAAAAATTGGTGGTTAAACTTAACTTTTAGAAAAATATGGTGCCTTTTTCGTAATTAGCCCAAAGTCTTAATATATTGAAAGGTTCCCTGAACTTAAATCAAAGTAAAAGAGTACAAATATAGCCCATCACCATAAATACCAAATTTAAGTAGGTATACTGAAAGAGCTGATGTCGGTATTAATTATACAATGAACTTCATGATAAGACCTAAGGAGTAATGCAGTAAAATTAAGGAACTAGATATTAACAATGTTATGAAGCATATGTAAATGAAATTATCAATCAAATTTTTGAATAAATTATCCATCGCATGAAACCTGCTCATGAAGCTTAATATCAATAAATGGGGAAAAAAAACATTTAACCTGTAAAGATGCAGAATATTTGACTAATTCATATAATAAACCAGAATCAACTATATGTACACATTAGCAAAGTTCTAAAAGAGCACGAAAATTTTAAGAATGCCACAACGAAATGATATTCAGACCAAGGGGTTGTTTCTTTTTTACTTAATCTGGACAGAATGAGATAACTGATTAAGCCAAAAAAAACCTAGCTTAATGTATTCAGACACCAACCATTTAACTATTTGCCATTCTTTTTTTTTCATCCCAACTCTTCTCATGTTAAAATTGACCAATACTATGAAAATGGTTTGTAAGGGTAAAATGATCATTTAGTCTCACTCAGCCGGTTTATTCAGTCTAGAAAAGAAACAGACCTTCTGACACATTCACCCACTTTACCCATACAGTACTTAATGGAGAAAAAAATAAACAGCCCATAAATATCATGTATTACAAGTTGTAGCTTTCAGAGACATACCTTTTGATGGTTTCAAATGGATCACTTTTTCAAGCCTTGGAAACCTAACCTTCTTCAGATGCTAAAAGGTGAGATAGGTACATTTTACTGTTGTTAGCATGGTTATACCTTAGCCCCTCATTTTTCATTTCCATATCATTATAAAATAAAACCAACCTTTTAATTTTATATGCAAATATCTGAGAAAACCAAAGACTATAATTAATAAAAATTTAAACCTGATGTCATTACCAATATAAACAACCGTGTAAACTGGTAACAACTAACGACACATTTCCAGATTTACAAAGCAAAAAAAAAAAAAAAAAAAAAAAAAACATTCATTGAGCATGTAATGTAACTCGAGTACTTTCGTCAATTTTTCTACCTAATAACCTGATATCAGTATTACTATATCATTGAGGAACTGAAAAAACCAAGTACCCATTATCCCAACGAACCCTAATCTCCTGTCCAACTTGCAGCCCTTTCCCTCTGATGATTTGACCCCATTTTCCAATAAGATTATAGTAACTCCCACGACACTTCAACTTCATCAAAAAAAGATCACCCGTGTCATAATCTCTTGCATTTACATTTATCTGAAGCTCGTTTCTTAATTGCTCTCGTGCCTGTGATGCCCAATACAAAAGAATATGATCTTCAATTGATTTCCCAGGTAATGTGAGGAAAGGATGATTTGTATCCACATCAGATGAAGTTAGAGCCTTTTTAATTGGCCATTCTTCTTGGTGATGATGATGTATCACTGGGATTGTTGTAGGGACCACAGTCTGTTCATAAGGGACAGAAAAATGAAGGCAGCCATTAGCCCATCTTATCTTGATCTCTTTCCCTACCCCTAGTCCCTTGCTACGGATAATCTTTCCCCATTTTCCTATTAGATTATAATAATTACCACGCCACCTCAGCTTCATCACGTATATATCCCCTGTATCAACATCACGTGCGTTCAAATTGACTTGTTCTTCGTTTCTCAAAAGCTCTCTTTGTTGAGGCGTCCAATGGACAAGAATATGGTCTTCAACTGATCTTCTTGCTAAAGGTAGAAAAGGGTGGTTTGTGTCCACATCAGATAGTGTTAAAACTTTCCTAATTGGCCATTGATCATGATGGGGTACAGGTGCAGGGATGATTTGCAATGGTGGAATAGCAAGAACTTGTTGTTGAGGGACTGAAAAGTGTAGGCATCCATTAAACCAACGGATTTTTATCTCTTTTCCAACATCGAGTCCTTTGCTACGTACGATTCTTCCCCATTTGCCAATCAGATTGTAATAACTTCCACGCCATTTTAACTTCATTACATAAAGATCACCAGTGTCATCATCTTGAGCATTGATGGCTACTTGCTCTCTGTTGAGAAGGTGATCGCGTTCAAGCTGTGTTAGATGGACAAGGATGTAAGTCTCAACTGGCTGACGAGGGAGAGTGAGAAAGGGGTGAGTTATGTCAACGTCTGAAAGTGTGAGGGCCTTTCGGATTGGCCAATCATCTTGTACTTGTAATGCATTGTTGTGTCTAGAACGCCTCATGCCTGTGGGCAGTGTAGAAAAAGAGAATAATTTGTTACGACTAGTTTTTTTTTTTTTTTTCCAAAATAGAATATAGAAATGTGAGCTATTGATAATTAGAGCTTATTTACCACCATTTCAACGGACAAATGGTTATCCATTCAGAAATTCAAAACTAAATAAACTTTGTTCATATGGATTTTCATTATTCAGAGCACATATACATTGAAATTCACTAAAACCTTCCTCAGATTCTTATAGCAAAAGAAATCCCAACTATTTTTATCTGCTTATTTTTAATAGGTTTCTTAGTTTTGCAAAAGCAGACACCTTTTTGCTGAAGCCCTTACTCTGTGGTTTTTAGAAACTGAAAATCACAACTCTAGCAAAAATCAAGACAAGGATCATAACATGTAGCTTTCAGTTTCACTACAAAGACGACATGTAGATAGCAGAAAATTAGCCGATCGGAAACCCTACAGAGGCTACATTTGTCAAATAACGGAGTAAACAGTATGACACAGCAGCAAGTAGCTTTCGATGTAATTCTCTTAAGCTTCCACGTTTCAAGTATAGGAAGCCCAAGTGCGTGCAGCCAATTAATTGCAAGTTTAAACCACACAAAGAACATATATAGGGCTGGGGCTAGGGCTAGGGCTAGAGCTAGAGCTTCTGCATCTAACTTTCAATACTAAAAAAAACAAGCAGTTCAAAAGTAAAATAAAAATCGAGAAAACTGAAACCCAGCCTAATCAAGTAAGGGATTAGCTAAAAGCTTTGTACGAGAATTAAAGACAAATGAGCCAGAAAAGTAGTTGGAAACCCAAATTAAATATGATTTCGTACGAAGTAAGTAATAATACCTGCGTTTGTCAGCGATGGGATTTGATCGAGAAAAACCCTAGAGAGAGAGAGTTAAGAGAAATTGGGGAAATTAAACATGTACAAGTAGAAAAGGAAGAAGATAATGGTTAATGGCGGCGTCGATTGTGTGGATGAGATTGGTAAAAGTGGAGATGGAGGTGGTGGTGGTGGTGATTTTGGTGTGGGGAGGGAAGGGAGGCTGTAGCTGAACTGGCAAAAAATGGAGGCCAATTCGCGTGAAGACGGAGAATCATGTCTCTCAAATGCTATAAATCTTCTTTTTAATTATACATTTTTTCTCTTTTCCTTTTATTTTTCGATTTAGACCGATCTTCATAATTTTTAGTTAATTTTTAAAAGCATGTTACATTCTTATATATTACATGAAATCGTTTTAATTTATTTCTATATTAATATATAACAACAGGTTAAATCAAAATCTCCAAAATATATATATATATATATATATATATATATATATATATATTTTACAACTTCTAATTACTAATTAATAAACATAAATTAATTAATATCATATTTGCCACGTATAATAATCATTTTATATATAGGACGTGTTTGGCAAAATTAGCTTGTAGTGTCAAACGAGACTTTCTGTTCAAAACGGAACGTTTTGTCAAACGCTAGAAGCTCTCAAACGCTCCGTGCCGAACCATAATCCCAAATCAAATCACTTTAACTTTATATAAATCCAAACTGCTGATTTAAAAGAATATCTTCATAAATGACGACTATTTCGAATCGAAAATGGTCGAAGTCAAAGTCAAGACCAAATTTGAGTGAGAGTTTTGTTTTGGAATTTTTTTTCCAAAACCGATGGCGTTATAAGAAACTAATTTACGAGACACATGTTGTGCATATTCTATCACATGCATTTATATATATATATA